TTCAATCAACTCCAATCGCTTAATTGCTTGTGTATAACTATCTGGAAACTTAACTGTCTCCTCTTTCCATAGCAGCCCACATTCATAGCGACCATCTTTTTAGCTTGATTGTATCGTTTAATATTTTCAGTGCTCTGTCATCTGCTTTTGACGTCAATGGCCTCGCATTAGTTTTGACACCGCATGTCTCTATTTCAAAATATTGGCGCATAATCTCGTCCATTTCACTATCGTCGTTGTGTTTAATACGATGAGCGTGTAGTACACTTCTCTTCGTCGTGGAGCGTTCTCCAGTAGGGCCAAAAATTACCCAGCCCAAACGCGATTTACAAATTGCGGGCATGTTTATGGCCGACAATCGAGGACCTTCAATTGGCACTGTTAAAAATGCATGCGTAAGGATAATTATCATTTTGGGCTGGACGTCAGAATAACTATCCAAAGGTACGTCGTCAAAACTTGGATTGAATCCCAGAACTTCGTTCTTATTAAATGACTGCTTTGGCAGAATCAAATTTTTGTTCAAATATACTTTCGATATCTTAAATTGTTTTGCATGTGACGCGGTGCCGCTAATACCTAGCTCAACCACTTCTGTAGGTTCTTTTTCGGAATGACCATTAAGCCAAGATATCTCCAGGTGCTCTTTCGTTCCACTAAGGCCAAGGTCGTTTGCAATACTCCAATCCAGCATGAAGACGTCAGCACCATCATCTATGAATGCGTACACAACAACCTCTTTCTCGCGATTCATTAACTTAACGGGCATGATTTGAAATAAAACCTCATTTGCATTTCTACCAACGTGGCAACTAACCTTTTCATGGGGCACCTCCCCTCTTACTCGATCACTGGTCGATGACTCACTGGAATCAGTATGAATCGAGTGTAATAAACGATTGTGGTATTTTTGACAATTATTTATTCCACAGCACTTCTTTGAAAAACATTTATTTACGGTATGATTGGATTTAAGGCAGGCAAAACAGACTTTCATTTCCTTTACATGCTCCCATTTGCGCTCAACTGGTAGTTTAGTGAACTTTTCACACGAAGCAAGCGATTGACAATCGCCTTCGCAAATAATACATTTACGGCGCGCAAGACTAAACATCGAGTATTTGCCCTTGTTCACTCCAGGCACGTTACCATGCGCACGGGAATTTATAGAAATTTGTGAGGGCAGTAGGCTATCCGTCACCATGTTAGCAAATCTACGCAAGCATGTCAACCACTGCCCAAAATCCACTATGTTAGGTGCACGACCCAATTCCATACATTTTTCAGCCCACTGCATACGATGTGTCATCGGCAACTTCGATACAAGCTCACTAACCAAAAACGGGTTTACCAGATGATGTTGTGCGCCCACTGATTGCAAGAATAATAACATATTATTTACCTTATTAGCAAACGCGATTAACCTATCTAATTTTCGTTCGGGAACAGGCTGCAAGGATTGTACCTTTTCGAGCTGGCTCTTTATTAGCTGTTCTGGACGACCATATGTTTCCGCTAGCGTTGTTAATATAGCATTGATATTTTTCGCACTGGATAAAAGTGATTCTACCATTTCCCTGGCAGGCCCATACAGTGCTTCACGTATTCTCATAATACTATGTAATTCATTGTATTGAAATTCGATGGTTGTCGTTTGGAAGTCTTCTATAAAAGCTTGCCATTCTTCAGGCTGTCCACCAAACTTTGGCAATGGGTAGATTTTATGAGCTCTGGCAGGTGCGTAACCTAAAGAATTGAAATTAGCAAAATACTCATCTGAAGAAATGCCCGCTTGTGAGTGCGACCCAGAAGCATTTGTTATTTGAGCTACAGCAGCCGGAAACGATGGAAAGGCATTGACGTTTGTCGATCTAGCGGTGGACATACCATTTGTAGGAGCCCCAGCTGCTGGAGTAGTTCGTGCAATTGTAGCCGGATGAAAACGCGTAGTGTTGGTCGTTGTTGTCATACTTGCTGCGCAAGATGTTGATGAAAACACGTCGCCTAGACATGGGTCGGCGGTTTCACGTTGACTTGGAACACCTATCCCACCAGTACAGTTATTTACCCCAGTATCGGACGCAATAGAGGCTTGTGCGTTTGAGACGGCAGCGCTGTTAGGTGTCGTAACGGCAACTCTCAAATTCGCTGAAACTCCCGTTGTGGTGTTTGCAGTGGATAATGGAGGGTTTACGGGGTATGAGTTGACGATCCCAGGCGGTATAGTTTTACCTGCAGTGGACTTTGGAGTAGCATCTCTCGTGCCTGCAGATATAGCCGGCAGCTTCTTGGTAACGTCTTGCAACTCTTTCTGCAACGCCGCGACGCTAGCCTTCGTTTGCTCTTGCTGATTTGTGATGAGGTTCTGCATGGCGAGCATCTGTAGCTGAAATTCTCGCTTCATTTCCGCAATCATCCGCATAAATTCATATATAATATATCCCATTTCTTGTTTTTCCAATTGCATTTACCATTTAGACACATTATTGACCATTTTGGCATCATTAGCTGAACTTCTGATATAAAAAACACTAACAAACGACGAATTCCACAAAAGCTAGCGATAAAAGTAAACAATTTTACAGCTGACTTTCGACTACAACAGCAATAAAGTTATGTGCTTTCCACTGATATGTTGACTTGTTGTCAACAGTGGTAAAATGGAAAAAATCGTTTTCCTTAAGCTGAAACGTGACACTGGGAATCGACGAGTTAACTCGTTATATCAGATTTCAAATACTAAAAGCAGTGTCTATTACTACGTTTATACGTAAGCCACTTGCAAATAAAAACAATTTGCAAATACATAACTCACTGTTTATTCGATGGTGAAAAACTCTTTTTTAATATTGCCTGATTATAAAAAGGCAATAATATGACCATCGAAAAGGAAAATAAAGTTAAAAGTATTAACGTCTTGAATCAAGACTCTTGATTATAAAAAGGCAATAAGATGACCATCGAAAAAGGAAATTAACCTAAGAATGGCAGCGTCTTGCTTATTTGCAAATAGTACCTCTAATCAATACTTATTTGCGTGATTTAGTTATTTGCAAATAAGAAATTAACTCAGCGTTTATACGGCAAAGTTTACCATTTTGCAAATTGTTACTTGCAAATAATGCAACTATAACTATTTGCAAATAAACTATTTGCAAATAAAAATAATTTGCAAATACCTAACTCACTATTTATTCGATGGTGAAAAATTCTTTTTTAATATTGCCTGATTATAAAAAGGCAATAATATGACCATCGAAAAAGAAAATAAACCTAAGAATGGCGGCGTCTTGCGCTTATTTGCAAATAATACCACTAATCAATACTTATTTGCGTGATTTAGTTATCTGCAAATAAAAAATTAACTCAGCGTTTATACGGCAAAGTCTACCATTTTGCAAATTGTTATTTGCAAATAATACGTGCGTATAAACGTAGCATATGAAATTTACAAATAGGAAGAGGTCATAAACGCAAATAAATCTGTTTTTTGTTTACTTTTCTCGTTTGCTTTAAAATACTTGGAAGTGCGAGTATTATCGATACTTTTTTGCAAATATGAGAACTGGCATCGATTTCTATTCTATTCTATATGACTAGTGCTCATATCTACACTAGTCACAACGCCAAACAGGTTTGTCTCCAAGCCAAACTTGACAAGGGATGACGGAAATTCGCTCCAAAATACGTAATATTCGTCCTACATATTTCCAAAATAATATATATCAATATTAGCGATGTTGCGAATGAGGAATTTTAGACATCCGCGGATGCGAGTGCGGATGCCAACTATTTTTAAGAAATAGGCTGACTTCCAAAACGTATCAATACATGGTCTGGATACCGTTATCATGCGGTATTCAAACTGTTTGTATATGCAGAGTTGCGAAATATTGCAACCATATACATTGCATATTTAAATTTTCAATATAACAACGAACAACATTTCTGAATTTTCCATTTTCACAACACCAACCGCAACCGAAAACAAACCAAGCATCAACTTTGTTGGTGATGCGCTTATTACTCTAGAGATACGTTTCAATAACTTTTCGAATGCGGTTTGTGTAGTTCGGCGTTATGGAACATTGTACTTTGTACGTATGCAAAGCAATTGACGTTTGGAAGTCAGCCATAATTTAGGTGAATAAATTAGGTGATTTAGGTAAATAAAAAAATTTAAAAGTTTGTGATTTTTAATAGTTTTTTCTTTTAATTAAGTACTTGAAATTAAAAATTGGAACATTGCATTTAATAAAAGGTAATATTGTTGCATCTTCGGGTTACAGACT